CCCATTGTTAATCCCCGTCATAACAGAGGCATTGTCAGTCCATATCCCCAGGAGTTTCTCTTTTTTAAGACAACACTTCTCGAGGAAAGCCACAACAGCACGGGCTATAGATTTGGCATCTCCTCCCTCCAACTCAACAAGCCCCAGAAATGTTGATACAATTGTCTGCTTGGTGTCACTAAAGTACCGTATCACAACCCCCAGGTACTTAGAAACATTTACATCCATGGACTCATCGAGGAGGAGGCTGAAACACTGGTCACCCACATCTGCGACCAACTTTTTCAGAAAGTATGGTGCTAGAACACCATTAACCATTTCTGTGCACTTTGTCCTGTGCATTTTGAAGTGGGTAGCAGCAGTGGAGTCTGAGAAAGCAGCTCTACATACTTCTCCAATGTGATCACATGCCAGCATGGAACAGTGTTCAGCGATAGCTAATGCCATGGTGGCCTCAGCCTTTTTTGCAGTCAATTTTTTAAACCATAAATGGCAGCTTGTTTTGGGTGGAACTGTTATAAGGCTGTTATATTAATATTATCTTGCATTTTCCAACGTATATCTGTGGGCTTCCTATGAACGATATTAAGCTAGCCTAGCTAAATATAACTAGGTGGAAACATTATCTAGCTAGCTAGTTGAGCTAGCGAGCTACTTGCATTGACTGTATTGAAATGAGCTAGCTAGCTAGCTAGCTACAGTGGCTTGCAAAAGTATTCACCCCCCTTGGCATTTTTCCTATTTTGTTGCCTTACAACCTGGAATTAAAATGGATTTTTTTGGGGTTTGTATCATTTGATTTACACATCATGCCTACCACTTTGAAGATGTGAAATCTTTTTTATTGTGAAACAAACAACAAATAAGACAAAAAAACAGCAAACTTGAGCGTGCGTAACTATTCACCCCCCCAAAGTCAATACTTTGTAGAGCCACCTTTTGCAGCAATTACAGCTGCAAGTCTCTTGGGGTATGTCTCTATAAGCTTCTACATTTTACATTTTAGTCATTTAGCAGATGCTCTTATCTAGAGTGACTTACAGTTATTGAATGCATACGTTTATTATAAATAAAAAAAATCCAAGACATTTAAATGTTTCCCCTTAAACCACTCAAGTGTTGCTTTAGCAGTATGCTTAGGGTCATTGTCCTGCTGGAAGGTGAACCTCCGTCCCAGTCTCAAATCTCTGTAAGACTGAAACAGGTTTCCCCTCAAGAATTTCCCTGTATTTAGCGCCGTCCATCATTCCTTCAATTCTGACCAGTTTCCCAGTCCCTGCCAATGAAAAACATCCACACAGCATGATGCTGCCACCACCATGCTTCACTGTGGGGATGATGTTCTCGGGGTGATGAGAGGTGTTGGGTTTAACGCCAGACATAGCGTTTTCCTTGATGGCCAAAAAGCTCAATTTTAGTCTCATCTCATCATTGTTGGCTTGCTTTGCATTTGACTGTACGGCAGGGCTCTTCAACCCTGTTCCTGGAGAGCCACTGTCCTGTAGGTTTTCGCTCCAACCATAATCTATCTCACCTGATTCTAATTATTAGCTGGTTGATAACCTAAATCAGGTAAATTAGCACTGGGATTGGATCGAAAACAGAAGGGTAGCTCTCCTGGAACAGGGTTGGAGCGCCCTCCTGTACAGTAACGATGTATTTGTGTATTAATATTCCTCCTTCCTTGCTGTGCAGTGCCTCAGATGGTGGCAGAGATTCCGTAGAGCAAGCCGAGCTGCTGGAGGGCCACCACAAGCTGATGAACCTGGAGTGCTCATGGAATGACCTCATGTATGAGAAGTACCGCATAGACAGCAAGAACACGCACAACATGAACCTCATTCTAAACTACTTTGGCAAGGTGCAGGGCCTGTCGGAGAACCTGGCCAAGCAGCTGTGGATAGAGCACATCGAGGGCACCCAGTCAGTGACACGCGAGTCGGACAAGATGTGGCTGAATCACAAACCTAAAACCTCAGGTTTACAGCAGCACACTGCAACGAATGTGGTTTATAATTAGGGCCTTGTGTTTTGCGCAATCATGTGACATAGCAAGACTTTATCCTGTATATTAAGCAGGGGTGCAACTTTCACTGGGGACGAGGGGGACTATTTTTGTCCCCCCCCCCCCAGTTTTATCATTGGAATGTGATACAAAACGAGGTAACGGTGTGCTTTAGGATCATGCGGACGCCTCCGAGCGGTCGGGTAGGCTGTTTGAAGTGTTTATCCAACTGGATAAAAAATATAAAATAATGCCCCCCCCCCCCCCCTACTTCTAAAGTTGCGCCCCTGATTTTAAGCCTTATCTTGAAATTAGAATTGCACTAAAAATGAAAGCAATTATGAGGATGGTGACATAAAAAGATGACAGTTTAATGAAAAATCTTTAATCAAACTGTCCGTGCATTCATCTCCTCCCGACTCCACTACTGCAACCCATTACTCTCCGGCATCAACTCAAGCTCCCTCCATAAGCTGGTTCAGAACTCTGCACCCACTCTAAGCCCTGCCACACATAATAATTTGGTATGTGCAGTGGTGTAAAAAGTACCCAATTGTCATACTTGAGTAAAAGTGAAGACAAGTCAAAGTAAAAGCGAAAGTCACCCAGTAAAATACTACTTGAGTAAAAGTCTAAAAGTATTGTTTTAAATATACTTAAGTATCAAAAGTACATGTAATTGATCACATTTACTTAAGTATCAAAAGTAAAAGTATAAATCATTTCAAATTCCTTATATTAAGCAAACCAGACGGCACCATTTTCTTGTTTTTTAAAATTTACGGATAGCCAGGGGCACACTCCAACACTCAGACATAAATTACAAACAAAGCATTTGTGTTTAGTGAATCCGCCAGATCAGGTAGTAGGGATGACCAGTTATGTTCTCTTGATAAGTGTGTGAATTGGACCATTTTCCTGTCCTGCTAAGCATTCAAAATGTAACGAGTACTTGGGGTGTCAGGGAAAATGTATGGAGTAAAAAGTACATTATTTTCATTAGGAATGTAGTGAAGTAAAAGTAAAAGTTGTCAAAAATAAAAAAGTAAAGATACCAAAAAAATAGACTTAAGTAGTACTTGAAAGTATTTTTTACTCAAGTACTTTACACCACTGGGTATGTGCTTATATTTGTTATATTTCACACATCTACAAGTGTGTATTAATTTGTGTTTGTGGCCAAATGATCACAACTGTTTCTGGCTAGACAAGATTGCTAGTTAGTTGAGTGACTTGACAATGGTAATCTAGGCAGCTAAAGTTAACCTAGCGGCTGTGCACATAAATAAACTTAATTCTATGGATAGCATTTGAAGCTAGTGAGCTAGCTAACGGTTTCCAATAGATAGTACAGCCACAAAGTCAAAATATATTTGGCTATATTGTAAAAATTAATGAAAACTAAAATGAACTTTAAGTTAAGGGTAAGGCATAAGGTTAGCAGTGAGGTTATGGTTATAATCAGATTTTAAAAAGAGACATTTTAGAAATAGGCAGGGTTTATGACTTTGTGGCTGTTATAACTAGTTACGGCCCTAGCTAACGCTACTGTAACGTTACTGTACCGGTAGGCTTTCTACTTGCTATCTAGCCAATGTTAGTAAGGGTTTGTGTGTCTCTGTGAAAAAGATAGTTAGCTAACAGCCTATGAACTAGCTAGCTAACACTACTGTAACATTACTGTACCGGTGGGCTTGCGACTTGCTATTGTGTCTCTGTGAAAAAGATAGCTAGCTAACCATTTATACACAGCCTATTTATTTATAGGCTACTAGCTAATCATGTGATGATGTGTTTGCTTGATAGCTACTTGAACTGAGTGTGTGTGCTCTGTGTAGGAACAGCGGAGGTGCAGTGCAGCACTGCAGTGTGTTTGAAGACTTTCTGTGTCCAGGGAGCAGAGAGCTTGGAGAGTTCAAGGTGACTGTGGGGAGCATACTACTGCATGCACACAGCCATGGAACTATCGATAACACTCCCTGTGGTACAGCCATCACTGGTAAAACAGGGGGAGAAAGAGGGGAGGAGGGAGGAGCACAATTTAGACTATACATTTCAACATTATATTAATTTCACTCAAATGTTTATGATAACAACAATGTGTGACAGTCAGAGTTCTGCATCTGAAAGCTGCCAAAGACAATTGCACAATGGACCGAGTGAGCCGTTTTCTTTTCATTTGTGTTAGTGGGACAACAATTGCACCACTACTAGTCATGTGCACACAGGAGAGTACCCACTGTAAGAAATAACACCAATACTTTGTCGGCAACAGTAATTAGCAATCACTTATTTTCAGCTGATGGACTATTCTGGAGACAAAGCACATCTCAAGAAACAGCACAGTCATTTTTTCCATAGCAGCAGTAATTATTTCCACTAAATAACTTGAGTGTGAAACAAGAGTACAAGTAGGTTAGAGTAAGTTTGCTCAGGGAACGCTTTAAACGTGTTCATATCTGTATCAAAGTGTGACATTTTCTTTAGTCTGTGTGCACCAAAGCGTGGACAGAAGTACATCTAAGACTGACTACAGAATCTCAATACGGACCTTATTCTGTTTTTTTCCACACTTTCTGTATGCCCCTTGTCTACCCTCCCCATTAAACAGAAGGAAGAATCTCAGGCCCTAAAAGCAGAGCTAACAAACAAAGCCTAGTTTTGACCACGGATTGCGGTGCTGCCTGAGACAAGTGGGAAAAACTGGTCTTGCACGGATGTCTGAACAGTAGTAAACTACAAACAGACATGTTTGACTTTTGTACTTTTTCTACAGTGGATAGTATGTGACTTCTGGCAGATAGAAAGTTGGCCTCAAATATTCCCCATGTCTCTCCTTGTCTTGGCTTTGAGAGTCGTTTTTCTCCTGAGGGGCATTGCAAGATTTTAGCAGGTGGGGGGATATTCTGATGTAGGGTCAGCAGGAAGGATGGTCTTCCGTTCCCTGCTTCTCTGCCACTCTCCATCTCCCCTACAATCTCCATTCAATCCAAGTTTAATCCAGCAGCTTGGAGTGCTCTATCCTGGTGATGGTCCAGTCTGGCGACACCCCCTTAGTAAACTCCCTTTGGAATCTGCCAACAGCCATGATAGATAAGAGTTGTTAAACAGGAAGTCTAAACACTAAACACTTGAGACATTTGACAGTCATGCAAAGGAGGTTAATGCAGGTAGTTGTTCCTTGGGAACAGATCTAGGATCTCAGTGGGCTCATCCCTGAGAGACTGTTTGCAGACGTAAGCTGCATTTACACAGACAGTCCAATTCTGATCTTTTTCACAATTATTGGCAAAATATTTGATCTGTTTGGTCAAAACACCAATTCGTGGCAAAAATATCAGAATTGGGTTGCCTGTGTAAACACATCCTCAGTGTTCTCGCTTTGTCAGAGAGATACTAAGTATGAATGCTTTATCACAGCCACCTCCAACTGCAGACCATTAAATCAACTGTGACACATTGCACTTTAGCAAAAAAACTAAAAAGAAAACTCACTCATAGTTGGCTGTGAGCAGTCTCTTAGTCTCTGGCTCACCCTCACCACCTATGGCCACCTGAAAGATACGTGTTCCCTCCAATGATTCCTCAGGCAACCGGGCACTTGTCAGATACCAGTACCTCATCAGAATGCTGGCAAACTTCCGCCCTGAGAGAGGAGAGAAATGTTTTTAGAACAACAATGACAAAACGAATATTCTAGGTCATTCAGTGCTTATGGCAAATAAATGTATGGCACACCAGGCATGCAGGGTCTGGAGAATGAGACTACTGTGATAATTCATTCCCTTCCCTCAACCCTTGGTGAGCTCCCATTTGCCAATCTGAAATGTAATGGCACAGTGGGGGGGGACCAGTCACTTATTTAACCAGAACTGAACTGTGCACAAAACTTGGATTGCAGTAACGCCCACCTTGTCTAGCTGGATTTGTCTAAATAACATTACCTTAAGAAATAAAGTACTTCTGTTCTAGCTAGCTTCCACTAGCTAGAGACCACCCATTCTACAGATTGTAACCTACCTACCCGTTTCGATCCCTCTGTGAATTCTTCGATCTTGAATTCCTTGTCAAAATAGACCCGAATCAAAAAGTAGTATATTCGGGTTCTGAACCATATTAAAGGGTTGGGAAAGCCAAGCACAACCACCTTCTGGTTTTGTTTACCTCCACCTCGATCAGAGCTGTAAGCTCGGACTGTAGATACAACACCAACGGACAAAGTAGGAGCCAGGCGGGTGGTCTTGTTGGGCCGGGGAAGTACAACGTGCTCGGGTTTCAAGAAACGACTCAGTACTGAAGGCAGTCTGCTACAGTTGCAACCTCTTAACATGGGCAGCGCCATCTTTTTCCTCCTACAATATCTCTGCTCTTCACTCTGTATCATCCGACAGCGAACATGGGTACGTATTACTTGGTTCCTACTTTATAAAAGCTCTGACATACATTTCAAGAGTATGAGCTAATGCCATATAATTCGTACTTTACTTAACAATGTTCTTGTAGATTCTTATGACCGAAGGTAAGTATAGATGACTAGTGAAGCTCCACTTTAAATAAAAAACAATCAACTTTATTAGTGGACCTCAGATTGCATGTTGAACCAGAGAGGAAGAGGCGAAGTGAGAAGGTTTACTACCTTCAAAATCTGTCCATGATAAGAAGACCGATAGACCAGGGGTATTCAGCCTGGGGTCCACACAATGTTTTTATTTTATTTATGAATGTTGCTAGCAACAACAGAATAAACAAATTTTGAATCACATACCTACTGTACAGAAGATCTTATTTCTCATGATGTCAACTTTATTTCCCAACTCCTATGGAGCAAATTAGACTAATTGGAGCAGTCTGTCATAGATGGTGTAATTCTCCTGTCTTATCTTAGGTATGCTCCCATCTCGCTCTCTCCTCCTGGAGGGCCTGAGCCCTAGGACTACCTGGCCTGACGACTCCTGGCTGTCCGCTGATCCAGTTTGTACGTTTCTGCCCTGTTCGTTCATCTCTCTCTCTCTCTCTCTCTCATCTGCTGTCTTGACCTCGGAACAGTCAGCTATGAAAAGCCAACTGACATTTACTCCTGAGGTGCTGACCTGTTGCACCCTCTATAACCATTGTGATTATTATTTTACATTTTAGTCATTTAGCAGACACTCTTATCCAGAGCAACTTACAGTTAGTGAGTGCATACATTTTCCATACTGGCCCCCCATGGGAATCGAACCCACAACCCTGGCGTTTCAAGCACCATGCTCTACCAACTGAGCTACAGATCACCTATGAACGTTTGAACATCTTGAAGAATGATCTGGCCTTAATGGCCATGTACTCTTTTAATCTCCACCCGGCACAGCCAGAAGAGGACTGGCCACCTCTCAGAGCCTGGTTCCTCTCTAGGTTTCTTCCTAGGTTCCTGCCTTTCTAATGAGTTTTCATAGCCACCTTGCTTCTACATCTGCATTGCTTGCTCTCTGGGGTTTTAGGCTTGGTTTATGGTGGAGCACGACCTTTACCGTCGGCTTACAAGGAAGTCTTTATACCTTACCGTTGGCTTGATTTCTCTGCCACTTCTGGGGCGTATTCATTATGATTCTGTTGCAAAATGTTTCTTAAACGAAAGCAAACGGAATGAAACAGGGAGGGACCTACCTGAATCTATCCAATAGAAACTCTCATTTTAGTTTTGCAACTGTTTGGCTATTGATTACACCCCAGGTGTGTGTGGTGCTTGGTCAAATAAAATAAAATAAAATGGTATTTGTCACATGCGCCGAATACAACAGGTGTAGACCTTACAGTGAAATGCTTACTTACAAGCCCTTAACCAACAATGCAGTTTTAAGAAAGAATACAAAAAAAAATCACTCAAAAAAATATTATATAAAATATTACCACATAAAAATAACGAATAATTAAAGAGCAGCAGTAAAATAACAATAGTGAGGCTATATACACGGGGTACCGAGTCAATGTGCGGGGGCACTGGTTAGAGCTTGTTCCA